TGCTTTGCCATGTTTTCTTTCCCAATTTGAAACCAGGAGGAAATTATTGGCAGAAATCACAGTGTAGGCATAATGTACATCTTGGCCATGCTGTGGGGCTGCCTATATAGGAATTCCACAAGACCTAATAAGGGTAGTTATTTATCATTTTCCCTGAATTAAATTTGAAAGAGCAATGGAAAGAATGGAAAAAGTTACTACCAATCATTGTAAAGGACATATATCAGGTTGGTGCTTGTAAAGTCTGGGCACTCTATCCAAATAATTTTTTTAATTGTTCTCACAAGATCTCAGAGTCTATTGGATGGTAACAAAGAGTTCATCTTTCCTGGTTGCAAGGTACCTGAATTTGTGATAGATGTAATTGTCACATAAAAAAAGTAGACCTTTTGATGTGGTGAAAGTAATGTTCCATTATGGAGTTCTTCAGTATCTCCACATAATTTCTCCAAAATGACCTATTAAATGGTCAAGGTATCAACCAACTGGCCACCAGGTGGCAGTAAAGAGGTAGATGAGTTTTCCTTTGTTTCTGTTGCCATCTGATGGGTTTAAATTGTGTAACCAGGAGGCAGCCCCTTAATAAATGATGTTGAAGAATTGGAATTTGACCCAAAGGTGCTGTTCAAAAGGCAACTGGACTTTGTTTTGTTTTTTCCTTGAAAACATTTTGCTTCTCATCCAAGAAGCTTTTTCAGCTAGAACTGGAGAAGCTTCTTGGATAAAAAGCAAAATGTTTTCAAAGAAATCCCTTACTCCATCACTTACCCATTTACCACACAATAATATCAGAAATAGTTGCATTGAACATAGACCAGACAAAGAAAGTTTGTGCAAGAAGCTGAGGCCTAGTTACTAGACTCTCAAAATACCCACCCCCCGCATCATAGTTTGCTAAAGCAGAATTGAAGAAAACCCCGGGTTACATAAATTATGAATACTTCTGGAAATGTTTTGATGTCAGCTATAATGAGAAAGATTTTGAGATGTTAATTTCATTCATACAGTACTCTTTTTAGACCTATTTAGATCAGTTTCATTGTATAATAAAAACAAATATAGCAGATGTTGTGCCCACATCAGAGGCCTTACAGATGCATATATCTCTCCAACATTGGATTCAAATCACATGGATTGCTATAAATTATTATTATATATTTTTAAATGTGATCGAAGGCAAAAATATGGGCTTTGTGGAAAATTGAAAATCAGAAAATGCAAATACCTATGATTTCAGTTAGCATATTAATCTCAATATGCTTAAAGACTGCATAAATATTTGAGCCACATTATTTAATGGGACCAAAGTAAATCTAAGCTATTTTATAAAGTTTGGACAATATAAACAAGACTAAATTTTGATACATTGAGAAAAATAATATTTATTGGCATGCAAGAAACAGTATTGGGCAAAAGCAATAAAACATTATACAACACCCAGTCAAACTTTTAAAAAAAAGAATTATTACATCTGGTACATTAGTACATTAATTTTATTAATGGTACTATGTACAATTCAGTTATAGTTAAATGGAAATGAAATGAAGTTGACTTGAACCTACAAGTATAAGATGTGAAAATGTTTCCGATTGGAATTTTGTTTTTTGACTAACTTTATAGAAAAGTGCTTTTCTTTTTCATATATACTGTATATATGGGTTTTATTACATAACTATTTTGTCATAGATACTGCTAGAATTGGATGAATAGTCCCATTTGCTTACATCTTTATAGAGAACATTAACTACTGAACAAACTATATTCTTACTTAGAAATGAGAAATTGATATCTTAATATTATGATGTGCCAGAACACACAAATATTCCATCCTGCATAACTGAATAATAATCACACATTGAACAGAGGTGAGAAATTCAGAAAGTGTATTTTGATCTGCTTTTCAACACGGTTAAATACAACTTCCTCATCAGGAATCACCAGGATATCTTGACTACAAGTATTAGCAATTAGTTTCTGAGCAAAACATTATTCTTAAGTTGCTAACTGTATGTCATATATTTTAACACTGCACAGACAAGTCTTCACACCATACCCACAACTTCCTTGAATACCAAAGAGTATGTATATGGAACTTAAAGCATAGAAAAAGCTGATAATAAAAGAAGCTAAACATGTTCAGCCCAACCATAACATTTAATCACAAATATGCAACTCTCCTATGTAGTGTTTATGTTAAATGAGGAATTTTAAAGAACTCAGGAATATGCAGCATGAAGTATAACACTACAAATAATGCTTTTCTAAATAATGCAAAGACTTCCACTCGCTAAAGCCAAATGATTTTTCAGAAAGTCTCTAGAATAACAAAAATGACACATAGTGGAACAAATGTAAGAAAAAAATAATATATTCTAAATTGTGAAATGTTAACTTAGAAAAAAAACTTCAGCTCTAAGGTATAATTTTATTTGCTTTATTATGCCAACCCCCCAAAAACACTTAATTTATAGATTCCTTTTGCTATATCAACGTTATTGTACCTTAATGTTGATACTGAATTGCCTTATTCTTGTTCTATCATGATTCTCTTGTTTTAATATCCTGCTTTTGCATAGAAATATAATACCTAAATTTATTTTTTGTCTGAATGTTCTTGCTCGTTTCTACATCTACAGTTCATCATGGATTTATGGATTGGGTATTTCTTTTCTTTTCTTTTCTTTTAGGTTATTGAAATATAGGGGTATTGAATAGTTATAAATGTATAGAAATTCTTACAGGTTCTACCTGTTCCATAAACTGTACCCACCGTACTGCTTTATTTATTTATATTTATTTATTCAACAAAGTATATAGTTGCCCATCTTATGAAACATAACCCTGGGTACCCACAACAACAGGAAAAAGAATTGAAAACAGTGGGGGGGGGAGGAGGGAACTAGAGAAGCTTTCAGGATGTCTAACCACAATTCATCCCCATCATCTGGTGCCACAAGCACCGATGCTTGTGAGAAAACCCAGATCTTTAAGGCTTTTTGGAAGGCTAGAAGATAAGGGCCTATTTCTTCTATATTCAGGGGAAAGGGTGTTCCAAAGGATAGGAGTGGGCTACCAAGAAGGTATGCTGCCATAAGATGGCAACATTTAAAGGACCTGGAGTTTGCTCACTCTTTCAGACTTAGTGTAACAAGAAAAATAAGCTTGCAAATAACCTGGTCCTGTGCCATTTAGGGTTTTAAAGGTGATAATCTGTACCTTGAATTGCACCTGAAAAGAAACTGGAAGCCAGTGCAGCTCCCACTGCAGTGATGTATAATGAGCAAACACTGGGACACCAAAAACCAAATGCTGCCCCCACATTCCAAACCAGTTGTAATTTCCAGTTGGTCTTCAAGAGCAGCCCTGTGTAGAGTGCACTAAAGTAATCCAACCAGAATTTACGTTGTTATCCAACCCAATTATTTCCTTTTGAAGGGTTTGCATTGCCTTATTGATATCATATAATGAAGGAAGCATCACAAAAAACCGTCTTAGCTAGATTATTTTTTCATAGATAATCTTGCAGTGTCCAATGTCATTGGTCTCCAACAAATACTGGTTAGAGGCTAAGAAATGTTTCAGTTTGGACACACCATGCATTAATTAAGCATGACACTCAGTTATATCCACAATGTTTTTACTTATCTTGTTGATTTTCTGCAGCAAAAATCACCTTAACAATGACAGTAGTAATATCCTGATGTTGGCTCTAAAATAATCCTCACATTACCGGGGAAGAGAGTGTATGTTCTATTATATAATAGGAATCTTTCCCCTTCTTTGAGTTTGGAATTATTTTTGATTGCCCTTGTGGTCAGTACCTGGCATTTTTAGCTGAGAAAGGGGGGCAAATGACATCACATACATGATGACATCATAACACAGTTACCTACTTGTATAAGTCATTGAAATGCAGGTATGTCATAGTTGCATTGGCTAAACTGGATATTATGTGTCACTAAAGACCTCAGTGGAGGGTGAACTGCTACAAGGATAACCTGAAAGCTTGATTATTTTTAAAAAAACATTTGGCATTGAACTTATAATAAACTGAGTTTTATCCTTTTTATATTGTTATTTTTAAAATAGGTGGAGGTTTTTTGCATTTAGATTAATGCTTAGTGTTAGCTCAGAGGTGAACAAGAATTACAAATGCTCACATTTTAGTGATAGTACTCTTACTATTTCATACCAAACCATATATCCATTCGTTCTGTTTTTCAGCCAAAAGTGTATTTAAAAATTTTTAGAAGTGAAAAAAACTTGTTCGCAACCAAACTTGCAGGGTTTTTTTTCTCAGACCCCTTATTCCATGCTACCTCTTCTTTCCTTTAGTCTTCTCTCCTTTTTCCATGAATCCACCTTTCCTTTCTATCTATTATTTTTATTTAATCTTTTTCCACCACTCAAATAAATCCAATATTTTACATGATAGCATATGTTCATATTCACTTTTGATAGCCTGTTCTTATTACTTTTTCACTGTTGAAATTTAAATGATAAGCTCCCTTACGGCTAAAAGGGATAAGTTTTGTTTAAGAAACTCTGCAAAACAAATGAATCTTGGTATTACATTTACCCTTAAAACTAGCATATTAGCAGCTGCATTAACAAAAATAACCAAAAAAAATCATATCTATAAAAACTTCTCAATAATTTCTAAATTCCTGAATTCAACTTTCTTCTGCTAAATGTATGCCTACTGGGTAAATGAAACTCGTTTGAATTATACAACCAATATTATTCTTGGCACTGCTGTACTTTTCAGGAATTGCCCTTCCCATCCTTTGAAGTGGCAGGTTGTGGGCACAGAGGAAAGAAGAGGGAACATATTAGTCGCATAAGCAGGTTTTCTTTTTTATCACTTTTGGATCTCATCTACATTCCTGGATCATCAAATAGCAAACAATGTATGATATGATGAGTATACGTCAGTAAGTGAATCACATACCACATTCTCCCCCACCCCCAGGAATAAAAAACAGGAGTTCAGCATTTACCTTCAGTCCTGTCTGGCAGCTTTGCACTCTTACTTGTTGTTCCAGCATTTACAGTTTCAGAGGATGTGCTTAGTTTGGTACTGGGATCTCGTTTGGGTTTTGGTGGTGGTTGCTTCCGGGAGCAGCTACTGCTATCGTCATCAGTGCCTCCAACAGAATGAAGCGATTGGGATCTTACGGTAAAGCCACTTGAACAAGGGTGGGGCAGTCTGTCCTGAGGTGCAGGCATCGTCATAAATCCCATACGAAAATGTTTGCCTATGTAGCTTCCCTCGTTTGCTTTTCCCACTTCACCACCTAAGCTGTAAAGAAAGCAAAAGCATAGAGATAGATATTTTACCAACCAATCAATGAACTTTATCATGGTTATTGGCCAATTCAAAGAAGACATATTCTGGGGAAAAAAGCAAATAAATGTCATAATAAAGCTAAGTAATTACGGTATGAAGTTGATGTGGTCAAAGTCCATATTTTATAAATGGTAAAACAGAACAGCCACTAAGGGACTATTGTTTAATTACTGTAGTCATAACCAGATTTCATGATGCTTAAAGTAGGTAGTTTTAAATTGTTCATAATACTTGTTCTAATATTTAGGAAAAGCATTGTTTCTGTATAACATAAACTTGCAGTCCACCTTATTTCATGCAATCAATTTCATGTAAACAATGAACAGCAGCTAGTACTTTCTCTAAAACCCTTCTGAATCGTTATTAATTTCACTTAATAAGATTTGGATTCAAAAGATGAAAATTACAATCGCAAGTGGAATGTGAGATCACTTATATTAAGCATGAATTATCTTTTCAGGAATCTGTACTTTTCCTTGCTTCCTTCATTTTAGATAAATCTCCAAGTCCTGTCATGTATGAATTCCTTCCATGTTTTTTTGTCCTGATCAAGAAAGTGGGCAGGTAGAAAGACCTGATAGAAAAATATGTATTTTTTAAAAAAAAAACATTCCCACTATTTGACAACTCTCAAGCCAGCTCAAAAACACCATATTTGAACATTTTAAGAAAGAGAATGAAGTTTATAAAATACAAAACTTTTTTCAGGGTTTTTTTTCCAGGAAAGTAGAGAACAAATTTCAACATATTACCATCTTAAAAATAGTAATTGAGACCACTAAGTGATGTGGTCATTACGTGAGTTTTGGCTGACTTTACAACCCTTTTTGTCCTCACCATTAAGTGGCTTCCTCCATTGATTTTTCTTGATGGAAGCTGGCTCACAAAATGATGATTACATGTTTCCTGGATACTACAACTGTCATATATACGTGCCTGTTTGAATCTGAATCATGATCACGTGACTACTTGCTTGCTACAACAATCCTAAGTGCAAGGATAAGTATTTAGCTGAGTATTTAATATAAGCATCGTTGCTGTTAAATAAGCAGGAACATTCAGAGTGCTTTGTGAATGGCACCCACATCCCAATATTGATTAATTTAGTTTTTTTCACGTTGTATTTTTAAAAAATAGTTTAGGATTTGAACAACACTTGGCATACATTTTCACTGCAGCAAGTGACTGCCCAGTCCCAGAGCAAAATGCCTACACAAAATAGTCACAACCCTGTTTCTATTCCATTTCTTAAAATGCTGGAATTCTGCCAATCTATGCTTGGTATAAAATGAAAAGATTAACCTCACACTTCTTTCAAACAACTCATCAATTGGATTATTCTTTTTAAACTAGAAAAATTTAAGCTGAGGAAGCATGGATGCAGCACCTGTCACATCAAATAATCTCTCACACACAGACACACTTGGTTCTTCTGCATATTTGTATCAGAAAGCTCTGTTTTTTTACCTAGGATTATGCCATTTATTTGATTTAGCCCCCACCCCATCCCCGTTTTTTAATTTTTTTAAAGGAGATGTTTAAGTAGGCATTTTTCAATAGCTGTTGTAGAGTGGACATGAATTGAATGGTAGACTGCCTTGGTTCTTTGTGACACCAGTCTTCCCATTAGATGCTATGATTAGCAAAATTTTAAAAATATTGAAGAATGCCTCCCCCATACTCAGTAACATGTGAGCAGACACATTAAAACTCATATGGGTTTATTTCTGAGTAGGCCCATAATAGATTTTTCCTGTAATTTTAAAGCAGAAAACCAATATCTTAATGATAATAGGACTAAACAATGAAACAAAATGTAACTGAGTAGAGAACAAAAACCAATGAGATTTTTCACTATTCTTTTTAAACAACACCTTTGTGGTGAAAGTAATGCTCACAATTTGAGGGGTGTGTGTGTCAGATTGTGATTGTGTAAGTTACTTATAAATATAATTGTATAAAATATTCCATAAGTACTGTTTTCATATCTTAAAATTAAACACGCTTAAAACCTTAGTAACAAACTTCTTTTCTGCTTTTTGTGGTATCTTCTACTTTATATCTTTACATTCCACTGAGAATCAGTTTGCTGAAATGTTAGTAAATTCTATAAAGATAATATAATATAGCCATACAAACAAACTGGCATATTTTCAGTGATTTCTAAATCATACGGTAATTAGTTTCAGTTCCTCATGAATGTAAATGCTAAAAGAACAAGAAATCGGATGTTATAATGAAAGCTGAAATTAGTTTTGTTTAAAACATATAAAGGTAAAGGTTTCCATGTCCAGTCATGTCCGCCTCTAGGGCATGAAGCCAATGTTGTCTGAAGATCATTTCTGTGATCATGTGACCAGCATTGCTATCTGCCAAAGGTGCTGTTACCTTCCCACCGAAGTGTATCTATTAATCTACTTGCATTTGCATGCTTTCGAACAGGTCAGCAGTATCTGGGGCACGAATGGAAGCTCATCCCATTGCATGGTGATCCCATCTCGCAGAGTTTTCTTATCGGAACAATCCCATTTGGCACTTTATTTAGTAACTTATCACTTTGATCTAGGAGCAAAAATGCCATACATAGAGAATTTTGACTTCTTCCTCTTTCAATAGTACAGGAATACTGCAGTACCAATTCTAGGGGGTAGCTTGTGTTGAGTTGTTCCCAGAAATCATCATTAAGGGTCAAATATAAATGTAATTTCCTTTGTTTTTTTTTTATATTGTTGATTTTGTCTTGAACATTGATGTAAGGAGAATTAATTGATCGAAGGCCTGTCTGCTCTTCCCCTTTTATAGCATAGGAAACAACACAAGATTAAAATGTGTTTTTCTGCAATAGAAAATGAGGCCAGATAATATAAATGGTTGTGTAGATGATCTCATTCTGTTACTTTTGACAGAACAAGGTCTGTGATCTTCACTATGCAAAAGATAAGCTCTTGCTTATTTCAAAACTCTATTACAGGAATTTCAGCATTCTGAAAATGCTGCACAGCTTATTAATATATATAGAAATATAAATCCAGAATATTCCCCTAAGAGCTTTCCATTCAGACTTAGTCAGGTTCAAATTGTATAAATTGCAAGGAAGAATTGTCTGAAATTCAATACAGAATAACGCATTTTGAAAAGAAGTAAACTAAAATGCAAAAATAAGAATATATATTTCAGACCATTCTCTAGTAATCCTACTGATGAATACTTGCTTTGGAATTGTATTTTAATCATGGTGAGAATGGTTATAATGAAAATAATCTTCATAAGTTTCAAACTTTTGGACTTTGGCTATCCTAGACACTTAACCAGCATGCCTGATTTGTGCTGGACTGAGGTTAAAAATCTATGTGGAGATTACATAGAACATTACAATACCATATCACAAATCAAAATTTTATCAAAGATCTAATTTATTTATTAACGGTCATGGATACAGAGAACCTCCATGGCCCCGACCAAGGAATTTCAACAGAGGTTCAAGACATTTTTAAAATAATATATCTTGAATTACATATGCATTTTATCACTTTGGAAAAAGAATATAAGCAACTTCTCTGCTGTAAAAAAGATGTTGAGACTCTAGAAAGAGTGCAGAAAAGAACAACAAAGATGATTAGGGGACTGGAGGCTAAAACGTATGAAGAATGGTTGCAGGAACTGGATATGTCTAGTTTAATGAAAAGAAGGACTAGGGGAAACATGATAGTAGTGTTCCAATATCTCAGGGGCTGCCACAAAGAAGAGAGAGTCAAGCTATTCTCCAAAGCACCTGAGGGTAGGAGAAGAAGCAATGGGTGGAAACTAATCAAGGAGAAACGCAGCTTAGAACTAAAGAGAAATTTCCTGACAGTCAGAACAATTAATCAGTGGAACAACTTGCCTCCAGAAGTTGTGAATGCGCCAAGACTGGAAGTTTTAAAGAAGATGTTGGAGAACCATTTGTCTGAAATGGTGTAAGGTTTCCTGCCTAAGCATGGGGTTGGACTAGAAGACCTCTAAGGTCCCTTCCAATTCTGTTATTCTAGATTCTTCTCCAAACTAATTAGCACATTCAGATTTTAGGTAGCACAGGAAACAATACAGTAGGAACATTTTCCTGTGTGAATCCCACTGACAGTTGTACAAAAATATGGAAATTCTTGGTAGATTGTGCTTGATGTTTTCCAATTCAATTATTTAAATCTAATGACATTTCTTTCTTTCGTTGACAAATTATCTGAGAATTAAGGACTCAAGCTTCTTTGAAATCTCTATTTCCATTAACAATACATATAAAATATTATACCGAGCATATATTTTATATGTGTATGTACTTATGCAAAAATAACTTTTTTACTTAATGTCAGAAAAGTTCTTTCAGGATTAGCATAAATTGGAGCTGTAAATTGGAATGTGTCTAAAAATTGAAGCTGCACTATTTTTAATCCAGTCAAGACAAGATTCTTCAGTCCATGAAGAATCCCATTAATGGGAGGAGAAAAATAAAGACGGCTTACATCCTAACAGCTGCACATAAGCTACTCTTGAAAAAAATATATAACTATATTACAAACTGAATTTCTTTTCAGTCTTCTGCACAGCTGTGTGCAGATTAGTACATATGCATAAAACACATCTTTTTAAAATACAAAGTATTTTGAGTTTATTTAGATTATTTTTTGATTTATGGTGTGGCTGTTGGTTTTCTGTCATCGGTACTATTCCTTCCTCTTTTTGTATGGCAGAGTACATCTTTACTCCCAGTCCCAGTCTTATTTTAAAAATAGATTCATGAAGAGTCCTGGACCTCCTACGTTTAACCCATACAACCATATATTTCAACCAATAGAAAATTAAGCACCTGTCCATAAGGTGCCAAATAAAATGGAATTATATTCCATCCCACTGCAGAATGGCATCTATACATCTAGGATGGAATCTAGTTCTCGTTTATTTCATTGCCAATTTTC